AGCAACCACCAAAATCTCAATGGGAAACAAATTGAGGAACTGTTAAGCGAAAATAACCTTCTAATACTGAATGATGGGAGCACAACAAGAATTACAAAACCTCATGAAAACCCAAGCCCTATAGATATAGCACTTTCTACACCTCCAATAGCAGCTAGATGCTCTTGGGAAGTGATCATGGATCCTGGTTACAGTGACCACTACCCTACAATGATTAAAATCAACAAAAATGGAAATATGATCAAAACCGACTACATTGTCAGAATACCATCAAAAAGAATCTTTTCAAAAGCAAATTGGAATACATATTATGATGAAATTCAGAATGACACCCGACTGCATAATAACAATTTGGATTTTTATACTCTGCACAAAATAATACAAGAAACAGCTGATGCAGTAATACCAAGATCCAAAGAAAGTCAAAAGAATAAAACAGGCAATCCATGGTGGGATGATGAATGCTCAGAAAAATTGGAAGAAAGGAAAGAAGCAATACGAAAATACAATGAGAGTCCAACAATGGAAAATTACATAAACATAAAACATACTATGGCCAAATCAAGAAGGATGTTCAAGAAAAAAAAAAGAGAAAAATTTCGACAATTTTCAGCTTCCATAAACAGAAATACCAACATAAAGGACGTATGGAGCAAAGTTAAAAAATTCTCAGGAAATTATAAACAAGAAAAATACAAACCAACATCTAACGAAATAAAGGTACAGGTTATACGAGAAATGTCCATAACAGATATTGACCCAGACTTTGAGATGGAAACAGCACAAAACATAGAAGAATTTAATATACAGGAATTGAACTCAGCAATAAAATTCAAAAAAGACACAACAACAGGTCTTGATGAAATATCATATTCCATGATAAAAAATCTACCATTAAAAGCTAAAGGTGCTTTAATCAATATTTACAACAAAATCCTTGTTGATAATCAAATACCGGTAGAATGGAAAGATTATCTAGTCCTTGCAAAAACCTAATAAAAATCCAGATCTTTATAATAGTTACAGACCTATAATTCTAGCCTCCTGTGTTCTAAAAACTTTTGAAATTATGATAAAAAATCGAATTGACTGGATCATAGAAAATAAAAAAGTATTTCCTCAACTGCAAGCTGGATTCAGAAAGAAATTCAGTGTTCACAACAACCTTGCACACCTGATAACATATATTAATTTAGCATTTGCACAAACAGAATCCGTAGTTGCAGTATTTATTGATATCAAGGCGGCATTTGATGCAGTGAACATATATAAATTATATAAAAAACTGAATGACCTAAAGATCCCAATTGAACTCTGCAATGCTATATTTGTGATATTATCTAATAGAAAACTTTTCATAAGAAGCTCTGGAGGCACACTAATAGGTCCAGAAACTGCCACAAAGGGCCTCCCACAGGGATCCCCTTTAAGTGCAATCTTATTTAATATCTACACCAATGACTTAATGAATATACAAAACAAAGAAATAACAATAATGACATATGCAGATGACATAGTCATATTCAGTAAAGGAAAAAACATCCCTACAATCATTGACAAAATAAATAGGGCTCTTGAGACTATAACTAATTGGTTGGATGAACATGAATTCACTCTATCTCCTGAGAAAACTCAAGCCATAATATTCACTAAGGGAAAAAGAAAAACACAATATCCTCTGGTCAAAATACAGAATACTGATGTAACATATTCAAATACAATCAAGTACCTGGGAATGACATTGGACAGTAATTTAAATTGGAATGAACACATAGAATGTATCACAAAGAAAGCTAGAAATGGAATAAATGTCCTAAAAATATTTGGAAAAGTTTGGTGGGGGGCTGATCCAGCTTCGTTAATCAACATATATTCAGGGTTAATAAATTCGCACTTGGAATATGGCTCCTTCCTATTGAATGTATCAAAGAAAAATTTAAACAAAATGAAAAATATACAACATCAAGCACTGAGAATAGTATTGGAATGTGCCAAATCTACACCTACCAATGTGTTATTTGCTGAAGCAAGACAAATACAATTTGAGTATAGACAAAAATGGCTGGGAGTAAAGTTCCTGACCAAAATACAAAACTTCCAAAATCACCCTACACTTCCATTGATAAAAGCTATTAAATTGCACTACATGGTTAATGCGAATTACTGGCGAAGGAAAGATATTCCAATATTAGTTCAAGCATTGAACTATATGATGCCATATATTCAAAAAATAGAAAAAATTGACAAACTCCCATGCTACGATTTTCAATATCAAACACAAATTAAAAGTATAAAAACAATAAATCTAAATCTAAATAAAAATGAACAATTAACAAAACAACAATTTACTGCTAACATAGATAAGTATAAAAAAGACTACATGTGCGTATATACTGATGGATCTAAAAAAGATAAGACGGGATTTGGCATCCACTGCTCCAATCTAGATCATAACTTCAGTGCAAGACTACCAGACTATTTAGATATATGTACAGCTGAAATGGTTGCAATACAAGAGGCAATAATATACATATTAAGAAAAAATAAGAAAAAAGCAATAATCCTAACTGATTCAAAAAGTGCTATTGAAAAATTAAAACAGAATTTTATTAATCCAGAAGCTGAAACAATTACCCTGAAAACTAAAGCAACTCTAATAACAGCTGCTCAATCTAACTTTGACATACGCCTAGCATGGAAGTAGTACAGCAACAGGGGTATGACTACAAAAATCCGAACATAACCTCAATCTTTCATTCTTGACACGTGGTGGATGCGCCGTCGTTGACACGAAGGTGGATGCATCGTCGGCGCCATCTTGTCAAACGTCATGGCGCCATCTAGCGTACATAGTGTGAAGTTCGTAATACAGGATGCTGTAGTTGGGACCCGTAGGGCTCCGCCCCCCAAAAAGGGGGCCCGTAGGGCTCCGCCCCCCAAAAAGGGGCCCCCGGATTTTAATATGGGTACCAGAAAAAGGGGTGGGGGGAAATGTTTTCCCGCCATCTTGTCAACCGTCACCTGTCAAACGTCATCTGTCAAACGTCACCTGTCAAACGTCATCTGTCAAACGTCATCTGTCAAACGTCATGACGTCATAGCGGGAGTTTTGAGTCGTTCCGGGTTCTGTGATGACGTCATAGCGACCTGGGTCACGTCCGTGGAGTCATTTAGAGTACATAGTGCAAAGTTTGATTCATGGTTCCGGCTCTGTGATGACGTCATAGCGACCTGGGTCACGTCCGTGGAGTCATTTAGAGTACATAGTGCAAAGTTTGATTCAGGGTTCAGGTTCTGTGATGACGTCATAGCGACCTGGGTCACGTTCGTGGCGCCATTTAGAGTACATAGAGCGAAGTTCGTTTCATGGTTCTGTAATGACGTCATAGCGACCTGGGTCACGTGGGTTACGTCAGTGCGGGTCCGTGGCGCCATTTAGAGTACATAGTGCAAAGTTCGATTCATGGTTCGGGTTCTGTGATGACGTCATAGCGACCTGGGTCACGTCCGTGGCGCCATTTAGAGTACATGTGTCAAGTTTGATGTGTCTTATAACAGGATGCTGTGGTGGTGACGTAACTATGAGGGTCCAGCAGCTAGCTTCATGTTGTACCTGGTAGACGGTGTTCGAACTTAAGGATGATACACACCTACAGTATTACTCATTGACCTCGTGTGTTACCATTTACGACGCCATAACTAAGTCATCAGCTGTTTAAACAACCTACGTCAAGGCGAGAAATAACATGCTGCTTACGTCACAACTGGTGATTTAACGTTGGGGAGAGAGTGGATTTGTTCCACACAGGCCTTATGAGGATAGGCTATCCTGTAGTAGTAGTGTGTATTATCCTTGGTTGGAACCAACGTTTGATAGGAAAGGGGCCTCGTTTTTTTATTAAAAACATACATTTTTTAAGACAACGATTTCAAAAAGCGAATATTTTCCATCAATAAACTGCTTAATATGATCCAATCATTTTGGTGGTACGTCTTGGGAGCAACACTGCGTTATCGTCAAATTCGACGAGTATTTCAAATCCATAGCTAAAAATATGCCACAATTGTATCGATTACCTAAGTATATAAGATATTTACTTACTAGGTTAAAATAATAATTTCTGTACAATAGTTTTATGATCTACCTTAATTTGTATAGTTTATTGGTTCCAGTAAAGATTTGCAATTATTTTGAGGTCTCTATCGTAGAAAATATTGGGAACTTTCACTTTATACCAGGTCTTATAATTTTCTCAGTGTTTTTGATCCTTTGTTATAAAAAGACAGGTCTTGTTGATTGATTTCAAATCCATATCTAAAATATTCATAATTGTATCGATATCAGTATATAAGATATTCACTTACTTGGTTAAAATGATAATTGTTGTGCAATAATTTTATTGTTGTTGACGAGTCTCAAACAAGACTGAAAGAGCTTAATTATTATAAAATCCGATTCAAACTTCGAATTAACAACATAACATACAAAAAACGCTGTCAAAATATTGGGAATTTCACTTTCTAGCAGGCTTCAGGTCTTGTAATTTTCTCAGTGTTTTCAATCCTTTGCTAGGAAAAGACGTTGTTGATTGATATTAGTATATAAGATATTTACTTACTTGGTTAAAATCAAATTAATTGTTGTGCAATAATTTTATATTTTTCACTGGTGACCAGTTTGAGCGAGACTGAAAGAAGCTTGTTATTATAAAATCCGATTTAAACTTCGAAGTATCACATACAAAAAACACCGCTAAATGCAAACGCTTAATCGGCAGTTTTTTTATCTGAATTATATCAGGACCATTCGCAGAAGCCGCCCGAGAAAAACAACAACACATTTTAAAGATAATTTTTTAGTTTAAGGTGTAATTATTAAGTTAGATAGGTATTAATATGTCCATTTTTATTTTAAAAGGTGACAAATTCAAACAATTTATCAAAATTTAGAAGAATAGATTTAAATTAGCATCGTTGACATTTTATGAGCCAATACCCTTATGCAATACAAAATTTCAGTGGATACATTGTTACCTGTAAAAGATGAGGATTCAATTTTTTTTCTTTGTACAAAAAACGCAGCATCCAGTACCAGTACTTTGAGCCTGGATTTTCAAAGTTTAGTTTCTTGTGCGATAAGTGTCGGTTTCGAAAAACTGTAAGTACTATTTTTAAATATCTAAGTGATGTAGGATAAATCATGTCCTGAGACATATTCTGAATTAACACAAACCTCGATTTTTGAATTATTTTTATTTTCCTTAACACATAATCATATTGTTTGTTTTTTAAAAATACAGACAACCCTGAGTACCTACCTATTTCTTAATTTAATTCCAATAGTTTTTTACGCAGCAACTTGAATTTACTTTTATACTTACATTTGCACAAAACTCAAATTTCTTTTTTTAAAATTTAGGTAGGTTCTTTAACCAATTTAAACTGGTTTTATTTTTTCATTTACTTTAAAATAAACCTCCATAAACAGCGAATTTTTAATTTTGTGCACAAAATCGTTCACCAGGAAGGAGATAACCTGAAACGTCATGGGATTGCTAATCATCTTCCAAGATCTGTAACCAATGTGGTGGGATTTTTAAAGCAGAGGGGGCTATCCAACACCACCCAAACACCCAGCTCCAAGAGAGCCTCCAAACGAAAGGCTGGAGATCCCGCCGCCCCCATGCTGAAGCAAGCTAGACTTTTGCTGGTAAGTTGACATTAAGCGAATTTTTTAAATCTAATTCAATTATTTTCAGGACCTTCAATATCAGCCACATGCCGGTGGTGTGAGTATTGCGATTTGGAGGCACCGATAAATCAATGGGTTGGTCATCTTCGGTGTCTCTAGCACCGAGCCAACACCTGGTGAAGCAGGAGGAAGACGTTAGTCTTGTCAAAACATCTTTCAAGAACCGAATTGAAACATAGCGGCTTTCATCAAAGCAGGACCCTATCAGCGTGAAGCACGTTTTGAAATTAGCTGTGGCATACCTATCCAGTATTAGGACGGACGGAGGACTGAATGATTTTATGACACAATTACCAGGATAGCAGAAAATGCGTATGCGAAAAAATAATTTAAAGCAAACAGTTAAATAGCGCAAGGATATGAGAAAACTAACTTCGCACATTCTTGAGCAACCGACCCACCGAATTCAGCAAACATGCGTACACGTACACGAGAAGAAGGGGTTTTAGAACTGGTTTTTCCTTTAACAAATCACGGTAACTATGGAATAACATAATAGAGGACTAAAATATGACACAACCACTTTCAAGTTGAAACTGGAAGTAGCCTATAAGGGGCCCAAATAGCCTCAGTAAAGTGCTAGAAAGATACCGGTTGCCACTACCACCCCCTGCTCATAAATAAATTTGGTCATTTGGGTTTTCAGGCATCCTGAACAAAAAGTTCACAGAATTCCAGGAAAAAGAAAGCGGTGTGTATCATTTCAATTGCAGTGTTATATACTAAACAATGTCTCTTACAGGCTGGACGCTCAAACAACTTTAAGCTCTAAATATAAGTATCAATAGGATCATAACCCTCTAAAAGCCTATTCATATCTGCCAGTACCAGGATAACCTGTAACGTCATGGGAGTTGCCGAACATCTGCAATCAATGTGGTGGAATTTTTAAATCATGTCATCCACAAATAACATGGGTTGAGGAAAAAAGTATGCGGAAATTTGGGATCTGTTTCTATTTAAATACTCAATATCTATTGAAAAAAAAAAAATATTCAAGGGTGACGATAAAGACGTATTTCATTTTTATGATTATGAATATTGCTACAATTTAGATGGTCACAGTCCTATTAACCATATTGGCAATGATTGTTGAGAATAAAAATAAGCTTTAGTATAAACTATGTTTTATTCTCCTGAGAATGGCAGAGATGAAGCCACCATTGATCTCTGTAGACCACCAACCCAAACCCACAGTCAAATAGCGCCAGCACACACTTAAGATATCCTACAACTTTTATTTATGTTCCAAAATTGTATCAAGATTATTTCCATTTCAATAATTTTTGAAAAGAAACTTCTTAAACGGCGTTCTGCTATTTGGACGACAATGGAGAGCGATTTGAAAAACGCGTCACGGGCAAATTTCGTTACTCGAGAGACAAGAAAGATGTAACGTAAAGGAACAGAGAAAGACAGCTATTGATTGACACAAACCAAGGATTATAAGCGTCGAGAGGACTGTCCATTATTGACAAGCGCCGATATTGACGCAAACCAAGGATTATAAGCGTAAGGATGATTGCCTATTATTGACAAGCGGTATTGGAAAAATAAAATAATTTCTGGCGAATTTCGGGGTTTTCCGGATATCTCTGGAAAGCACTCGGAATTTTTGAAATATCAAAGCAGCATAATAATGAGCACAAAGTTGCACTATACTTTTTTCTGATTCAACCGACGTCGGGTCTCTTTCCGTAGGATTCTAATACAGGATTCGAATAGGATTCAAAATAGCTAGTATTCGAATGATACCCAAGTCTCCCAAAGTACCACGTGTTATCACAGGAGTTTATTCAAAACATGCCGCATTAGTAATAATTATCAAACTTCAAAATTGTATAACAGGAGACTTTCTCATTGAAATCAAGCATTACGTTGATAGACTTGATACTGTTTACAATGCCAATCCCCATTAAGTATACATGCCCCAGATGTAAGGGTGAAACTGATATACCTAATCGACTTTGTTTGCCTTGCGAATTTTCACAATTTGTTGAACAAAAAAGGATACCATCTCATTATTTTGCAAAACCCGAACGTAGAACCTAAATTATGAAGTTGTAAATTTTCTGATAAATAAAACTTTTGTTATTATATTTTTCTGCTTTTTATTTATGGCCTCTAGACTAGGTTAGGCTATAATAATTTAAACAAAATTCAACGAGAGCTTTGTGCACAACATTAGGATAGGCCATCGAATACTATATTGTTAAGCTTTTTTTCAAGTCGACACTTTCCGTATGGGGAGCAAAAGAAGGAAGGATACGGCAAAAAACAGGTGTGAGATCAGGTGACCGTTGACGTACAATCGTAGGGAGTCACACCAACTCATATTGGAGTATCAGCTAGGGGATTCTTATCTTGTCACAAGTCGCTATGGCTCGCTAGCTGTCATTCGATACCTATTTCGATATCGGATGGAGAGTGATTCATATGTATTATTGTCGAATTTCGTATCGACATCAAATAGACGGTGGTATGAAAAACGAGAGAAAAATCGACCTTCAAATTTGAATGATAGATGATAGATTATGTTTATTATTTTATAATTTATCTTTCGCTTCAATTCAAACTATTTTTACTTCTAAAGATTCCTTTCGCGTTGAAAATAATTTCAATTTTTAATTATTATGTTGCAACGAAATCTTAAGGCAGCACCGTCAACAGCAAAACCTTCACTTTAGACGCACGACTCGTAGGGTAGGAGAAACTTAAATTTACATTTTTCTTCTCGTCTCTCAACTCCACACTCCCGTATTCCTTATGTGAGAATGACCGCGTTCACCAGCACTCAACATGTTGAGTGATTAGTCAGCGGCTTTGTTGAAAAAGATGAAATATAACGAAGGATTACATACACAAACGACAAACATAAAACATAAACACATAACATGACACCACAGCTTGTCACTTCAAAATAAAAAAGGATAGCCAATCATTCGAACAAAGATCAGCAAATCGAAAAGCCGAAACGGGACCTCTTACTTACGTCAGAGAGTCGATCCGAACTAGCATAAGAATCAGCAATTCGACATCGAATTGGTCTTAAGAATTCCGCAGGATAATAAATGATGGACTGTATACACATGCAATTTAATTCATTTTACCTACTTATCAATAACTGATAGACTGTGCCTGACTCATCCATATAATATTATAGGTCCTGCAAAATATTAATGAAACCGAACAAACACACTGCATACATAAAACGTCCATTTTATGTCATATTCACGTTCATACGTCCATATGACCTATTCACTGATCTCGAAAATAAATGGATAAACAAAGAACGCTACTAATGCTGCTAATTCACGAGGTCAAAATCTAACAAAAACAACTGACTGGGACAGCTGTGAGCATGCGCAGTAGATACATGTATTGTGCGTACACAAAATCTGGCTAATGAAAATGAAGGAATTTCGAAACTTAGAACAGTTGTTCGAAAGATAAAACACTGCGCAGGCGTAAGGCTGTTCCGTTGCGCAACTGTTCGTAGAATATTGACCCCAAACTTTCGCACAAATTATGCAAATCAAGCCGTATGAATTGTTTATCCATTTATTTTTTAGATCAGTGGACCTATTCAGAACGTACATAAGACGTACATTTTAGTAAAAACATTCATATTACGTACATTTACATCCACCATTTTGGTTTTATGTTAAAGTGTAAAATACAAACAGGTCACTGTTTATTTATTTAATTCCTCGTGTCTAAGTTTAACTTTGTTTGAATCTCTGTTAATCCTAGTAATTCAAATCATTGGCTTAGAAAATCGTGTGTTTATTTTAGTGGCAGGCAGACGTAATAATTAAAAATTGATAAAAAAATGTCTTGCCTCGACTGGAATTTAAACCCAGGACCCCTGAATTTCCAGTGCAACGCTCTAACCAACTAAGCTACCAGGAGCTGTTTCATTTCTACCTTTTCGAATGTCGATCAAATCTGGAACGCGAAATAAATGAAAAATAGTATAGAAGGACTAACCACACAGCGTTTTTATGCCTAGGGAGTTTATCGATACCGTGGGAAAAATCTAGATCGACGATGCATTTGATCTGAAATTTCGGGGTTTGACCCGAACCAAACCCAAATTTTTTGGGGAGTTTCCCGGAATTCGACCGCAGCTCCTTATCTCATGCTATCATCCTCAAAACACAGTTATCGTCCCGCCATCGAGCGTCATCTTCGTCGTCGTCTCGTCATCGATCGATTGCAAAAATTCTAGCCGGGGAATCGAGTCCTCAGACCATCACACCAAAATCCAGCACTGTAGACAAGACACTAGATCCTTGAGTAATTATTGATAAAAAATGTTTGTAAGTAAAGTCTATACCAAGTCACTTGGACTAGCATAAAAACTAACTAAATCCCGGCATCCATCAGCTTTTTCTTTGTCAAACATGGGCGGCGTAATTTCAAAAAACAGTACTAAAATTAATAATCAATAGACAGTATGTCAATCAATCATGATCGGCAATGGCCAATCAGATCTATTGAGTCCACGTTTACTGGTATCGAACGTGTACATGGAGGATGAAGCCAATCAGATAATATACCTATCCATTCTTACTTGTCTGGCTTCCAACGGGTACGAGGATCAATCAGTATAAATTTTGCTATATTTTTCAATATGTAATGCAGTATATTGACCATACGTTTATTTTAGGCTTGGTCCAAGTAACTTCGTATAGACTATAAAACGTTCTAACTATACAGGTCCAGAGACAATTATAAGTGTGTAGACAGCTATACAGGTCCAGAGACAGGTCCGATACAGCTTTTCGAGACAGATCTGTCTACACAGACTGCTTTTCGAGACAGGTCTGTCTACATAGACTGCTTTTCGAGACAGGTCTGTCTACACAGGCAGCTTTTCGAGACAGGTCTGTCTACACAGATAGCTTTTCGAGACAGGTTAGTAGTAACGGGGGCACCTGAGCCTGAGAAATTTTTCGATACCGTGGAAAAATCTCTAAATCGGCGGCGCCTTTGATCTGAAACAGCTATACAGGTCTAGAGATAGGGTTGTATACACCTATACAGGGCTAGAGACAGGCCTGT